GTCAAATCGAAGATCATCAAAAGATGATTAATTTGATATATTATATATGTAAAACCGATAAGAAATACAAAAGTTATCAACTTTTAAAATACACTAGTACAGAGCCCGTGCGATGCACGGGGTACACAATTTTAATGTCATTTGTCCATTCTTATAATTATATAAATGAATAAAAAAAATATACGGGATATATATAGTACGTGACATGTAATAGACCAAAATGTGAACACAGGTGATGCACGGGGTGCACAATTTTAAGGTCATTTATTAATGCATACCCCGTGCGATGCACGTGATACATATAATAAATCAATTATTTCTATAGGACTTGTACGTCTAGACAAAAAAAACAATAGGCTTGGATCATCCATATTTCACATCTTTTATTAAGTGGCGTTTATTTAAGCCAAAAAATTAACATGTTAATTAATATATAGTTCCGCTAACACGTCATACTAATATTTATTTGATTTTAGAATACATATTTCTTCATTGATATAGGAAAAAATAAAAATTTTATTAATTATTGTTCAACATGTAATACTCAATTGTTATTTAATTATAAAATTTACAGTCATATAATGTAATTATTATTATTTATAAAAGTTATAGAAGTAGTCTTCTTTATGTAATGACATTCAAAATAAAATTTTGAGTATAAATGTTTACAAAATACACACACATGTTTTTTAGATTCAATTTTCTCATAATATTTTTTTTTTTTAAAAAAAAAATGATTTAGCAATTGCCAAAAAATAAAATCCTTTACATAATCAAGAGATTTTTTCTAATTTTCATCCTAATGCTTTATAGTTTATTTAACATACTATGCAATAGAAAAATATTTTACAATAACTTCATTTTTTCAACATAACAAAAAAAAGTGATAAAAACACTATCATAGTTGACAATAATATACAAATAAATAACATGTCGAAATTTTAAAGAATAACTATAATTTTATTATCTAACCATCAATAAAATCATTTAATGATGTGATCATTATCTTTTAAATAATAAATAATACTATTTTTTTAAAAAAATATTAGTGTTATATAATTAAATAAAGATTAAAGAATATTACTCGACAAATATTAATTATAATGGATATCAGTAAAATCATTGCATAAATTATTTAAAGAAAAAATCTTAGTAAATGTAAATATGCAAGTATTTAATGCATATAGTAAAAAAATTCCAAATAAAGTATCATTAAATGTGTGTTGACTTTTCTTGCTACTGTTTTTGGTAAATAGGTTGGCTTTTAATATATATATATAGATTTATAATTCTATAGCTTATTGAAGGAAGCAAATCAAAATTTAGGGATATATTAGTCACTTAGTGCTTCACTATGTAAAATTATAAATAATTAAAGGGTTATATTAGTAAAAGTGATATTAAAATACCTAAGTTAGCTAAATAATATTTATGGAATACCCGAACCTAGATTATTAATTATTAATATATTAATATTATTTGTCCAAACCTAATTACGAAGCATGATTCTTCGCCAAATAGGATTCCGAAGCACCAGAAGCAGCCACGTAGGCTCAACGCATTCGGGAATAATATATAGGGAGAATTTGTAAAAGCTTAAAAAAATAATATATAGGGAGGATTTGTAAAAGCCCATAAACTTGCGTGTCACTCTATGTACTTGATAGCTTCCACCTATGATTGAGTGTTGTGCTTTCACAACCCCGACTATACTTGCATGGGCGAGCGAAGGTTAGGCAGACGACCGGGAAGACTGACTAGTTGCGGGAACCAGGCCGCACGAGGCAATAATAAGGCGAAAAAATTGTGCCCACAAGTTTCAGGCCGCTAAAGTTACCCCTGTGACGCCTGGCACCAAGAAAATTCTCCTCACTGAATGCAGCTTCCAGAAATCGAACTCCCCACGCTGAGGTTGCGAGCCCACCTGGCTATACCAAGGGCATAGTTTCTTTGAATATTGTTAAATCAATTTGTTGCTCTATGGTCACAACACCTCCAAAAATAAACACCACGGCACAAACTAAAGGCAGCCAAAAAGGCAGTTTCCAAATTTCACAGCTCTTTACATTTATATCAACATCTTAGGGAACAAATGTCAATCTATCTAGTAGAAGAGGGGTATTTGGTTAGTGTTTTAAACTAAAGTTCAATATAAAATATATAACAACTAATCACGTAAGAATCGTGTTTCAATAGTGATAGTATTGATACTGTGACCCAGTGTCATACCGATACACATTATCATATGATTCAAATTCATAATGATACATAGCCTGCGGTGGTTCAACTTCATAGTGCTGCACAGTTTGAGCGGGCTCGTTTTCATCATGATCTGTATGCTGAGGGGATGGAGAACTGGGCTTGCTCGGGGAAGAACTCGCCACATGGTCCTCATTTTTCTCGACTTTGACTTCAATCAAGTCAACCTCCTCAAACGAGTGGAAAATGGGATGCAAATACGCGTCGGCCAAGTAGGATTTCAAGTCGACTTCGGATTCTAAAGCACGGTCTTGCGTGTCCTTCGACATAGCCTCCTGGATTTTGATGTTTCGAAAAAATGGTAAGAAATTAAGAATATAGAGGACTTTGGATAATTCCAAACTACTCCTAACATTTAGCCTTTATCACGAATAATTCCGGTCACTGAGTTATTTTTTAATTTCTAAAACCGTAGAGGGAACGGATGATCTGTTAACTGACAGATATGGCATGGTTTCAAAATTCAAATTTTGGCAGACATAAGATCAGAGATTTCAACAGCATACAAAGAGGAATTGGTATCGTGTGCCAGGAGAAAGCGCATTAGTAAAAAAACGTATGTAAAATTACTGTATTACCTCAAGAGGGTACTTTCTAAATGCAGGTTCGAACCGACTCTTGCAGTATTTGTGGAAGGCCAAAGTCAATATCGGTAGCACCACAAGTAAAGGAGTGGAATTTGCAGCCTCTTTTGTGCTCAATAAGCCCATTAAAAGGAGTTGAGAGATTAGCAAGCTCGCTATAATGCGACCGTGAACATGCGGCCAAAATGCTGCAGCACTCTCATACTGTTGATCATATACATTGATTACCTACAAATGGAGAATTTATAATTTCCTTAAGATGATTGGATTTATCTGAAATTATGTTATCATAAATTCAGATCAAGAAATGAAATATCATTGAAACCTCGGCTGATTAGAACTAACCTGATGACGGTACACAAAGTAGGCTAAGGCAAAGAAGACGAGAATAAAAGGAAGAAGGATTGGAGTGACAACCATGTACACAATGCCCAATAGGAAATACAATTGAAGGCTCGGTAAAGTCTCAGGGAAACTAACGCCACCAGGGTTCATTGCCTTCTCCAAGTCCCTCTCAGTTTTTACAATGAACATGTTCTTGAGGTGGAATATTACTAAAGGTTTCAACCGTAGGATTTCACCTGCGATCCCGGCCCAGCCATCGACCATTATGTATGTAATGAAAAAAGTAGCCTTCATTGGTATTGATACACCAATGTTTCTTGGGATTCTGGTACCAAAATAAAGTTATTAGTACTTGGGAATGAAATTGCTCGAGTAAAGGGAACAATATGCAGCAAGTGGCATTTGTAAATTCCATATAAAAGATTGCATGTAAAATAAGTTGCTTTCGCAGCTCAGGCAATAGAGTCGATTTGCCGATCACAATATTAAAGAAATTTTGATAATACTAAAGTTTTTACAAGGAAATATCCAGATTATTTGTAGTCATACTTATCACACTTTTCATTAAGGTGTCATCAATCTTGTGAATATTTTTATATCATACCTAAATTGGATTTAAATTAAAAAAAAAAAAAAAAATGTTTAGATGGAAAGAGCAAGGAGTGCATCACACAGGTCTTTACAAACAAACTCAGGACCGAGTCTCAATTTTTGCAGTTTTGATACTCCTTTTTTATGCGCTAAAGTATTGTTTTATATCACACTTGCAAATCATGAAAATCAGGTCAATTGTTGCTTTTACTTGAGAACATCTCATGTCTCATGGATAAAGCAGTATCTACACCGGCATACAGATTTCTATTTATAAAATTGAAACTAAATATGTTCACTTCTGTATGATATAGTAACGGTTTGGTTAAGAAGTTATGCAAGCCATAAAATGCTCCGCATGGCATCTAACTTATACAAATAGATATCTGTTATCGACTAGTTAATAATAAACAAAAGCCACAAAAGTTAGGGAAAACGTACTGAGTCGCTGACTGATGAAGAAAAGCATGAAGCTGCTGGAATGCAGTTCCAGCCACTATACTACCCAAAAACACATTAACGAGCATAAAGTAGTAATATTTTGCAGCCGTCCGTCTT